GGAAAAGGAATTAAGAAAGTTGATAGCACCATGGCTTGCCCTACATATGATAGAAGTCGGTGAAGACAAGATCAGTGTTTCTGGTGGCCCAGGAATGCTAGTGTCAGGTTCCTGTACCAGGCGCAAGGCCCTGAGAAACAAGGAATGTGAATGACTGGCTACGGCAAGGAGGAGCCTGCAGACAGTACAGCCACTCATCCAACCCACGTCAAAACTTGGCTTCCAAATGCTAAAGACACCGAAAGTAGGACTAATGAGCTTCTGATGCAAATCCCTGTAGAGGTGGGCCATTTCAGCCCATCCTCGCCCAGCCGGCCGACCACCGGTTCCAGGCTGTTTCAGGAGTAGTGTGGAGAGAATGAGAAGAAATGACATGTGTTGGGGTGCAGGGGCTTACTGCAGTGCTCCTTAATAGTCGAAGTTTATCGGTTCAGGGTTTCCTGGTTTGGGGTCTATGGACATATAGAGTTGTCAGGGTTGGTTTCTGTTTCTCCCAGGTTGTGGTTGATCCCTTTGCATGCTTGGCCTTGTCTTGGTGCTTCTGGCTTCCTGGATGATGCATCTGACGGGTTGGGGGCTCAGGGTTTCCTCGTTCAAGGCTGAGAGTGTTGTAAAACTGGATGAAGGGCCTGTGTTTCTGTTTCAGGTTTGGGATACCTGTACAGTACAGCGCTTGCAGAACAAGTAGTTGTCATTTCAATCCCTGCAGTGCGGGGCTTAGACCAGAGGACGCGTGCCCAAGAACCCACAGATCCGGCAAAGTCTGTGTTCTGCATTCATCCGGAACCTCTGTGAAGGACTCTCCAACCTACAGCAATGCAGAGTCGGGGCTGTTCCCCCTGCGACCACGCCCGCGGGAGGCGAGGGGGGAGCTGGTACCTTCTAGGTTCTCAAGGGTGAGTCATGCAGAACCAGAGGCAAGTAGACCAGGCATTCTTGTGGGTATTGCTGAGCCATCTTGAGCCAAAGTCAGGCCTTTCAATATTCGCGGCACAAGCATACGCATCACTAGGGTTCAAGCTTCAAGGCCTTCCCCAGAGGTCATCTGAAAGACGAAATCAAGAAAGTCCATCCAAGCTGTGTCCAAGAGGCGTGGTTCGACTTGCTGTCTGGTGAGCACAGCGTGGAGATCCCTTTCCACGAGATCCGTCAGTCAAGTCACGGAGAGGAAGCAAGGGCTGCATACATGTGTACGTGCATGTCCGAGGCACCATAGGCGGGTTCTTGCGCAGACAGGAAGCTTGGAATCATCTTCTCTGTGATTCTCTTATAGCTGTAGCTCAGCAGTCTGCATGCAAACGAAGCTGCGGTAATTGGCTATGACAAGCTTGCAAGGTGTTTGGACTAGCCGGGGGATGTGCGGCTCATGAATACAAAATAGAACACGCTTCTGATGAGAAGCAACAGTGTTGTTAGAATCTTGGAACAAATGAGGTTCTTCTTGCAGTTTTCAGACAGTCTCCATCCATCATCATGGGCTGAAGCATTTGCACCCTGAACTTGGCAAGACGTCCTTCTGCCAGGAAGTTGTACATGACCTCCCAGGCAAACAGGTCAAGTAGTAGTGTTTGCCGAGGAGAGGAGATGGGAGGAGGGACCACCAAATTACTGGACCCTCAGTAGTCCCTACATTATCTCCAAGGATACAATGGTTTCCATTTTCTTTTCCAGGCTGCTATTCAGGACAGCAAGATTACTGTTCTCCTCAGCCTCAGGACTACGTGTGGTGGTTTCAGGAAAATTGCTCACAGAAGAAGGTCTTGGCCACAAGCTCTTCGGCCGCAGTTCTCGAGCTGACAGGCACCTGTAACTATGATAGCATGATAGCAGTAGCGGCAGAAGCAGAAGCAAGAAGACCCGTGTCAACCCTCTAGCAGGGCAACCCATTTCCAGAACACTCCCAGCAGTGAAGCAATTTAAGCCTTCAGCACTCCGGTGTTACCACTCTGTGTGGCGATCAACTTCGCTGAGTTGTTTTTCGCAGCCGTTTGCCTGCTCTTCTATGATCAGGAGCAAATTGTTGGCAGATATTCGCCTTACATTGTCCAAGGCAGCCAGGCCGAAAGACGAGGACACCGGACACCGGTCTCGTCTCTCCCTGTAGACGCCGCAAGCTCTGATTTCAAGCACCTTTGTGTTGGGCAGGGCTGGACTCCCAGCCCAGCCCGCCATCTGCAAATAAAATGCTCAGATGTTTAGGGAGCAAGTCAACGCTTCCTGAAACAGCGTGAGATATTGGCTACAACCAGGCAGGGGCAGTTACCAAGCTAAGACCACTGCGGACAAAGTACCCCACTCCTTCTCACTATGATTGCCAGTCCTGCTGGTGCAGTTATCACTTCTGCAACTGTAACCATTGTTTATCTTGACGCCTTTCTCTTACTGCTACTAGTATATGAACAGTGCGTGTACTTCATCAAGGTGATCCAGTTTTACTATGATCACGCACGGCAGGATCTCTGAATCCGATCTCAGCCTGGCGGACGGCGCTGTCGGAGCTGGCGCTGACGTCCCACCAGCCATCCGCAGGTGAAGGGCTCGTCTTCGTTGGTGATGCAGCGGATTCATGGAGTCTGGGGTAAGGAGTTTATGTATGGCACGTGGGGGAAGTATTTGGTGTCCAGCTTTCAGGCAGCATACGCAAAGCATCTGTGAGAATCCTTATTAACACGATCTCTGAACCCCACCGACTCTTATTTGAGCCATAGTCTAAACTCCTTAACGGGGGTTATATGGGGGATTAAATTGGGGACTATTATGGGGGTTATTAAGGGGGATACTAGGAGTTTAGACTATAAGTACCGCCTAGAATCCCTATATAATCCCAGTTTCCATTTCATTTTCCATTTTCTTTTTCCATTTGATTCTCCATTATTAAGGGGGGACACTAGGAGTTTAGACTATTGCTCATTTGTTCCCTGAGAACTGAAGCCTCGGAGGTGACAAACTGCTGCTTCGCAGCAGGGCTGCGCTGCTAAAGCACCTGGAAAAGTTGACGGTTCCGCAAGGCACCACCATTAAAACATGTAGTACAATATAGTATAATATAGTATAATATAGTATAATATAGTAAAATATAGTAGAATATAGTATAATATAGCATAATATAGTATAATACAAAATGCTTTTTGTACGGGATTGCTGCCCTTGATCACTGCGTTTAGGGGTTGCCTGCTAACCATGTTCCTTCTCGTGCAGAGTTTAGGCGACTTTGCGGCTGTCTGTGAGACTGAGCCCCAAGTTGTTCTTATGTATCAGGGCGTTGATTGCAGGCTGGAGTAGCCTCGACTAGCTGCAGTCTCGTCTGTGCGAGTAGATTTTTTTGCTGTCCTGAGTTCAGTCCTTTGTAGGATTTAAGACTCCATCGTGTTCCCGTACTGTACTACTCAGGGTACTACTGCTAACCTGCCTTGCAGCGATCCAGTCGCCTCTATGCGGATGGCATGCAGGGAGCTCGAGAGGCATAGAAGAAATGCTTTTTCGGGCAGCACCAACTGCCCTGGGAAGTCTCATTCAATCTAAGAGGGTACTGGGAACCAAAGGGGGCTTGTTGCGTGAGCCTGAGATCAAACAGCGCATTATCCTTGAATTCAGCGGTGTCAAGAATGCCACTAGAAACATGTGCTGGCTTTACAACTTGGTAGCGGGTGTCGGAACTTGCCCTCTTGAACGCTGAAACCCGAAACTCGAAACCGCTCATGAGGAAGCATTCAAACGCTGACAAACGTCCAACGGGTTAAAAAGAAAGAAGCCAGAACTCTAAATCCAACTCTTTTAACGAGCCAGGTCTTCGTCTAGACAAAATCACTGAATCACAAAACCGGCAAACCTTCTGAAGGAAGAGCTACATCCTGACAGGTCCAAGAGCGCTAGCAGAGGCAATCTGCTGGTGCTTTGGGAATGTAGAGCGGCACCTTTGCCTGCAACCGGGGTCACGTTGGTGTCCTGTCTCGAGGGTCCGCATTTGGTTTGATTCATGTTGGTGAGTTCAGGATTCATGTTTGGGTGAAAGTCCGAAGACGCAACCTCTACATTTCATTGATGTTTTTTCTGGGACTTGTTGCTGGTCCCAACGTGGAGTATTGCACCCCGCATACCCAGAAATCCACATGCAGAATCTTCAATCAAGAGTAGGCTCTGAACCTTGCAACTCTAAAGCCAGTTGATGTCAGAGTCGGAATGCCACAACCTCGGTTTTCTGAAAGACCTTTATCATGCCGAGGGCCACTGAGCAGCTTTCGACTTGCTTCGGCGCTCAGGTGGGATAGTCTAGGCTTTCATGGAGATCTTGGTTCAAGGGTTTTGGGTTTAGGGCTTTGGGTTCGGGGCTTTCGTGGCATTGGGATGGGCGTGTTTGCGGCAGGGACTTGGGCTTTCAAGATTTGGTTTTGAGGTGTCCGAATTTGGGCTTGGAGGGATCGTTTTTGGCTCAGGTCTAGCTTGCGCATGAGACGCCGGGCCTCAGGTCGTCTTGTCCCACTGTGGTGACGGTTCGTTTTTTTTTCTCCACCAACCTTGGGTCCTACAACATTCACAGAAAGGGTAAGCAACAAAGTCCTCAGCCTAAAATTTGCCCAAAGACCTTTGGAAGGAGAGTCTTGTATATTCACAGGATCTTGGCCCAAAGTCTTTTGGGTGCCACGAAAGTCAACTCATCAATTTCCTGGACTTCTGACACGTTCATTCAGATGATACTGCCAGGAAACTGGTTATTGTCAACGTGCGCTTCGAATGTCACTGGAGATCCACTAAGCACCCAAAAAACCCTTTTTCAGCAGGGAGTAAGGGCATATATCATATAGGGACTATACGGATTATATTCCCGTATTCTCTACTGTACTAAGCCTGAGCCCTAATCCCTAAACCCTAACCCCTAAACTCTAAACCCTAGATAGTAGTTGCCATTTTCTTTTCCAGTATCCCTATTAAAATCCCCAACGTACCCTTTAGGGATTATATTCCTGTGTCTCTACCGACAACTAGTAAGTAGAACATCAGAGGTGAGCCTGCTGCAGTTCGCGGGCCTTCTGGCTCTCTTGGACCTGGACATCGACCTCCTCATGGGAGAGCAGGACCTCGAAGTCATGTTTTGCGGGGATTGCATGTGAAGCCTACCTACAGACCTGACAAGTGGCTTGGCACAACACTTCCCAAGGCTTCAACATCAGTTGTCAGCCAGAAAATGGCGTTATGTCAAGTTGTCGGGTCAGAGCTCGTGTTGCAAAAGTCCTGCGTATGGTTCGAGTTCCGTGAACCCTGCCAGGAGGCTGTCGTGCTGGGACAGATGTTCCAGAAAGGTGCCGCTACTGCAATCGCTATTTCAGATGTCTGGAACTTGAGAAGTACCAAGAAGCGAACCATGTGTATCGTTTTGATTCCGGCCCAGGCGCAGTGGAGGTGACTGAGCTTGTTCACGGCACAACGAACAGGTTGCCTGTGGGAGGAGGAAAGACTCAGGCCGGACCGGGGATTCAGTGGCAAAGCTAAGTTTGGTAGATGACAGACTTTCTGCTTTATTCCCAACATGTGCGGACTGGCTTTCGTGGAGCGAGATGTCTTGAGACTGTGCTGCTAGCACTGCGTCATGGTTTGTGGAAGAAGCTGGACGGCAAGCCCCAATCATGCCTGCTTTGCTCTCCTTTACACTTGAGATGTGCGCGATCAGCAGATCTACAGGAAACGCATTCCGCATGTCATGCATGTTTGGTTGCATAGGTGCAGTTTTGTTGCAGTGTTTAGACAGGTCCTGCCCTGAGGATGGTACAAATCAGAAGCCTCATACACAGCCCAAACCTCAACCCTGCAAGGACTTACCATTCTTGTTTGAGCTACTATCAATCTGCAAGTCCCGAGGACCGAATCCCCCGAAACCCCTGCAACTCTCCACTTTTGTCGCCGTGCAGCGCAGGTGAAGTGGGGACAGGTTGGGCGCTTCCTCGCGCTGCGAGCTCTGCGTGGGCGCACGTTGCGGCGCTGGGGCAAATCTGATGCGGGTCCTGCCGGGGCAGGTTTGAGGTTTGATGGTTTGACACGGTTTTGAGTCTAGGTTGTTTGGTTAACGAGGGTGCACTGACCCTGTGCATGGTCAACTCAAGAGATTCTGCACTCTGACTGAAAACTTTTCATGTGGAACTCGGTGGGGATCATAGTCTGAAGCTTCATGGACCTTCGGTCGTGATCCACTCCCCTGACAATCGACCCAATTTTGGCACCAGGGCTCTTGAAGGGGGGCAAGGTCAGCAGTTTTGCCAGGGCTTATTGCCTGAGTCTTCTGCATTCTTGTGCTTTGCCCACGCCTGGACCCTGAACTGCCTCAAGCCAGTGGCTGTAGATCCTTGCACTTCACCAGGCCTGCACCCAAGACTAAGACATAGACATTTTCACACATTTCTGGCTTCTCAGGAGACCGTGCATCCACACAAATGCAAGCCCGTCTGCAGGACTGGCATCGAAAGACATGTTGATCGGAGTTACAGTTCAATTCTTGCTGACTATCCCGCTTAGATAGAGCTAGCCTTGAAAACAGTTTGGTACAGATTTTCTGTGGGTGTATCACTCCAACCGACATGCTGATGGTGCAGCTGGCGAATGGGTGGAATGGTTTTCCAACCAAGCAGTGTATAGTCCTTGCAGAGACATCAACAAATCGACTGACCAAATGCTGCTGTGTATCCAGAAACACTTGCTCAGCTGTGTTGGGTGTATTTTGTCTTCAGTCCATGGCCCAATAGCCATGCCCCAAGTCTTCAGCAACCCTCGGCGCTCAGCTCTCGCATATTGGTTGGAAGTGCCGTTGTGGCCTAATGCTAAGAATGCATGCGAGCGAGGCTAGTTGGGTCCGTTTTGCGGTTGTAACGCCTTTAGCTACTTTAGGTTGCTCAGTGCAGCCTTTCTGTGTTCTCTCAAGAAACTGCCTGTCATTCGCGCCAGTCTTCTTGCTCATCTGCTTGTCCATATCGGGATTGGTTTGACACAGGGCTGAGCCTGAGTAGATGATGAATCATGAGGTCTATAGGTTAAGTTCGCCTTTGGGTATTCAGAGTTTAGGTTTTCGGGGGTTGAGGCTGACTGGCTTGCGGGCCTGGGATGTGTCTTCAAGACTTGAAAAGTCTCACGTGGTCCTGAAGGCCCCGAGACCATCCAGTGACCTGAGCACCCTTCCACAACCACCACAGCAGCCACGCCCCGCAACTGCCACCACCACTGCTACTTCTGGCCCCAGCACAGTTGTCATGTGCAAAGGCGGAGGTTTAGTTTAGAAGAAGAGCGGGAGACTTCAGCGGGGCCGTCTGGTTGCTCGTGAAATCATTCAGGCGTGAATCAGCAACTGGATGGCTTGAAATCTTGGATCACAGTCTTTTCTCAAGGTCTTTCGGACAAATCACGGGTATCACCTTTCTGAAGCAAGTTTTTCTGGGGGTTTCTTTCTGTTTTTGTTTGCTTGCTCATCCATTTTCGCATGAGAGGAAAGGCAGAGCACGCAAGGCAAACCACATAGCCCGGGGTAGTTTGTTCTATTCCCTGTGCCCTGGCAAGTGGGTGCCGGGCGTGCTTCTTTTCTGCTTTACGTGTTTGACGCGTTTCCCATAGGAACACTGAGTACACTGGCAGAGCAAACCGAGCAACAAATCGCGGAAGGGCGTGCAGAGCAAAAAGGCATGGAGCCAAAAGCATTCCTAGTCGCCGCGGGATCAGGGCAGCAGTGCCACAGTGCAACTCTGCGAAGCTTTTGGTGTCCCTCACTGGGCAGCCTACGACGCAAAAGCATGGTATAGCAACAAGTGTACATACTGCATGAACATGAGCAGACCGCCCGCCCTGCTTGTCCTTCTCATTTAGCTTCCTGCTTGTCCTTCCTATTCAGCTTCGCTTGGCTTCCTCTTTTTGTTGCCTGCATGTCCAAGAGGCTGACGCAACGGTTGCGTCGGTTACGTGCTGATGCGCAAATTGTGGTAACAAATGGTCGTCAATTCCTAGTCCCCCATCCCTCTAATTTCATTATTTGATCCCTCTTATTAATCCCTCCTATAAGCCTTCATAACCCTTCTATAACCCTTGCACAATCCTTACATGTCTACATAACCCTGGTATAGCCTGGAGAGAGAGAGATATATTTGTATATGTATATGCATATGTATAATCCTATATCTTTTCACGATAATCCCGCAACAGCTCAGGTATAACCATTACCCGCATGAAGCCCTTAAATCGAGGAGCTGCTACGCAGAAGTGCAGCGCAGCAGAAGCAGCTGGAAACATCTTTACGATCCTGGTTTTCTACGGCCTGCGAAAGATCAATGGAGGCTGCAGCAAGCACTTCCCTCTAACTCCACCCCAACCCCCTCAGAATACATATTCCCCTGATTATGATGTCAAGGGTACTACATGACTGGGTTTCTCTTGTTAGGGGGCTGGGAGACTGCAGGGGCAGGAGATGGGTTCTTGGGCTCGGCATTTTCTGCAGGGCTCCGGGGTTTGTGAGTTTGTCCAAGCCCTCGCACCCCGCAGCCCAGCCTCCACACAAAGGACATGCTGTTCAGCTGTTCGAATTTATGTCATGGCAAGTCCGATTTGAGCCCAATACCCCATCGCACATGGCCAGATTCATCATGGTCCCCTATGCACGATGATAGAGCCTCCTGTTGATACCTCTATCTGTGACCCACGGTCCACAAAGTTTGGGTAAATGTTTCATCTGCTGGTGAGCAAGCCCACTTTTTGAATTCGTGAGATCCCACCCGCTTGCCCCACAATTGTGCACAGAGCCTGCAGGGCGTCATGTTTGTGAGCTTGCGACTTGGCGGCATAATCACCGCACAGCTGGGCTCTCGCCACATCCAATAGTGTGAACCTATGGTGCCAGAGGCTTTCCTAAAACCGAAGGAAGCAGCTTTCGGTTGTGTTTTGTTTGTCCGGCCGGAGAAGCCTTCATCCCATGTTCTGACATCTCCAAAACCAGCCTGCAAAAGGGCAATGCAAACGGCCTTCCATTTCCCCCATAGCACAGAGTGCAAAACTCACACAGGAAAGCCTGGACGTCGTTCTTCTCAGATCTGGAGCCTTGTGATCCAGCAAGGAGTGCCAGGCTGCTGGAGGTGGGGGCAGACTGAATTAGTACATTTTGAATATATCATAATGTATAATAATCTACAAGAATATCTTATAATGTACTATAATCTACAATAATATATGGTAATCTACAATTACATGTCGGCTTTAGGGCCCACGGCTTTTTCAAGCTTTATGGCGTCAGCCCATTCCTTTGCGACCAATCTAGCAGCCAATGATCCCAGCCTCTGCTCAATGCCAGCGACCAGGTCAGGATTTCTCAAGTTGGGAGCAAGAGGGTTTGGTTGTGCACGTAAGTGAGAATGGGGTTGCGTAGGAGTTGCTTTAGTGCCTTTAGCGGGTTTCTCTGCGCTACAACGTTTTCCGCGAATATCAATAAGTTCCCTGCAATGACCTGTTGTGAAGAAGTAGAGAAAGTTTTCTGCGATGACCTTGGGGGACGACGGCGGTAAAAGCATCAGACCAACTTCAAGCCCCAGTGTTGCTCCGCAACAGAAATCCTGTGACGCACGATGGTCAACTGTGACTGCATGTGCTACTGTAGTCATGCCGCCCAGTGAGCCCTGTCAATACTGTAGTTCCTACAGTCGATGGATGCGGTATGATGCGGTTCAGAACCTTCAAACGCTCTTGTTCGCTTCAAGTTTCCCCCCCCCTTCTGCCGATAGGCTGGTGGCGAGCAAGCCTTGAAGCAAGCCTTCGAAGATGCCAGGAAGAACCAGGCCGCCTGTGTCTCATCGGGCATACTGTATACTATAGTTTGTTATAGTAGATTATAGGAGCGACCATGTTGGCTTGTATGGAGGCAGATTACAGGCAATGGTGTCTTAAAGGCATCTGGTCTTTCAATCAAAGGCTTGTGATCATGAAGGCCAATTGCGCTCAACCACCTCCGCCAATGCCACCAGCAGTGCCACAGCCCAACCCAGCCGCCGCAGCCAGCAGTAGCCAGCAGTAGCCAGCAAGCTTCGCAGCCAGCAACACCAGCACAGTGCAGCCAACAGCACCAGCACTAGCAGCAGCGCCGTCGCCGCCGCCGCCGCCGCCGCCGCCGCCCCTGCTGCTGCTGCTGCTGCTGCTGCTGCTGGCGCTGGCTGCTGGCTGTTGCCACTATGGTGGTTGTTGTTGTTGTTGTTGTTGTTGTTGCGATTTAGACGCAGTGATTGCGATGGCTATTGCCATTGTTACTACTGCTACGGAACTCTTGGCCGTCACGTCTGGAAGCTTTGGAGTAGATCATCTCCAGTGAGACCCCCGACAGGTCCCTGTCAATCATACTCGCATTCCTCCTTCGCATTCATCTGCAGAACCAATGTAGCAAGCCAAAACGACAGGCTGCCATGGGCCTCGAAACCCAGTATGGACCCCTTGGTCCACCGTACCAACAAGGCAATGATCACATGTGGCCTTGATCATGCGTGTGGTTGCATCGTCAGCGAGGATAGGTACACCGTCTCCATCATTTATGCAAGTATGGGTACTAAGTCAATCCAAGAACCACAACAACCATCACTACCACCACACGCCCACTACCACTGCGGCCCCCTTTGGCTCTTTCTTCCTGATACGTCTCCAAAGCCCCAGATGAGAAGTGTTCCGAGAAAATTCCCACTCCATCACTGAACTGAACCCCAAACCCTAGAACACCCAAACCCCTAAAACCCTTAAGCTTTGAATCCCCTTTGCAAACGGCCCCGACTGAAGCTACACCTCAGGTAGGACCTGGCCTTTCCTGGGCCTCTTTCCTCCAGGCTTTGAACAGCCTAAGTGAGGCGGAAGGGGAGGCTTTAACAAGAGCACTGGGTACAACAATGGAAAAGACAATGGAAATTACTATCATGGGTTATATGGGGATGATAGGGTATGTATTGTGGTTATATGGGGATAAAATGGAGAAGACAACGGAAACTACGAAAGTATAATA